GAGGGACAGTGAACTGGCCCCCTGTGTAAAAAGTTTGGGGACGCCTGGTCTAGAGGTTTGAGACTAGCCTGGGCAGCATGGCAAAACCCCATCTCTACAAATAAATTAAAAATTAGCCTGGTGAAGTGGTGTGCACCTGTAGTCCCAGCTAATTCAAAGGCTGAAGTGGGAGAATCACTTGAACCCAGGAGGTAAGGCTGCAGTGAGCCAAGATCATACCACTGCACTCCAGCCTAGGTGACAGAGTAAAACCCTGTCTCAAACAAAAATAATAATAAGTAAATATCCTCTTCATTAAAGAATACTATTAAAAAAATTTAAAAGCCTGGGCAAGGTAGCTCATACCTATAATCCCCACACTTTGGGAAGCCAAGGTAGTTGGATTACTTGGGCCCAGGAATTCAAGACCACACTGGGCAATGTAGTGAGACCCCCATCTCTACAAAAAAATTTTAAAAATTAGCCAGGCCTGGTGGCATGTTCCTGTAGTCCCAGCTACTTGGGAGGCTGAGGCAGGAGGATTGCTTAAGCCCAGCAGGAGGTGGAGGTTGCAATGAGCTGAGATCGTGCCACCACACTCCAGCCTGGTGACAGAGTGAGACATTGTCTCAGTAAATAAATAAATAAAGCCATTAAGTGAGATAATCTATTTGCAATTATAACCAATATTCTTAAAGAACTCTTGGAAACCAGTAAGAAAAAAAGATAGCTCAGTGCAAAAGTGGGCAAAAAGAAACTTGAATTAAACCTTCCTTTTTATATTTATTTATTTATTTTGAGATGGACCCTCACTGTCACCCAGACTGTAGTGCAGTAACACGATCTCAGCTCACCGCAACCTCTGCCTCCTGGATTCAAGCAATTCTCCTGCCTCAGCCTCCCAAGTAACTGGGATTAGAAGCACACACTCCCATGCCCGGCTAATTTTTTGCATTTTTAGTAGAGGTGGGGTTTCACCGTGTTAGCCAGGCTGGTCTTGAACTCCTGACCTCATGTGATCCACCTGCCTCGGCCTTCCAAAGTGCTGCGATTGCAGGCATGAGCCACCGCACCCAGATTATTTTGATTTTTTTAGAGATGGAGGTCTTACTACGTTGTCTGGGCTGGTTGCGAACTCCTGAGCTCAAGTCAGCTTCCTGCCTCAGCCTCTCAAAGTGCTAGGATTACAGACATGAGTCACCATAATAGGCCTATTTTTACTTTTTATTTTTTTGTGACAGACGCGAGCCAATGTGCCCAGTGAATTAACCCTTCTTTATCATAAAATATTATAAACACTAAAGTATTTTTGACTACATTTGTTTCTTTTGTCTATGTTTAGTAAAGACAATTCATTCATGCAATTTCAATGTTTTTTTCTCTTTGCACAACTTCCTATATAAATAAAATCACAAATCAGGATAAAAACAATTCTCTTGAGGCATAGTTTGTCCTCTTTGGGGTTTTGAAAATACACCCACAATAATTACTTCATCTAGTCTAGCTCTCCATTCACCTGAACGTTTATCTGACAAATGATTCTCAGAACTTCCAAGTGTTCCAATAAAAACATAAAAAGGAATGATTGCCACCTCTGTCTTCAAGGATGAGACAGATACTCCTGTTCAGATAAAGGCTCCCAATCTCCAAGCACCTAGCCAAAGTAAAAAACCTCACCTTTCTTCATCTTTTGGGGGACTGTCTCAGAAAGCTGGATTTTCTTCCCCCATGCAAATTTCTCCTTTCCCACACTATCACATTCTTTGAAAATCAGAAAGACCAAGAGTAGTGTTACACATGAGTGACACACACCTATAATCCCAGCTACTTGGAGGCTCAAGAGGGAGGATTACTTAATTAAGATAAAGAAAAGAAAAAAAAAGATTGAGTTATAGTTTCACCAAGTCTTTATGAATACAAAGTACTTAAAGTGTTAAAGCCAGTACGAAGAATATGGGGGAGATATAGACCCGGCTATCTACTGAATGCTTACCAGATGTCAGGCAGTATACTAGGTAAATATATCACTACCCTCAAGGGACTTATAGCCTAGTATGGATGATCAATGATAACAGCCAGAATAAAAGCTTCATTTATGTAGTGCTTACACTGTGCAAGACGTTGTGCAAAGCATCTGAACACGTACTTTTAATATATAATAGTATATACTATATATAATATATGGCTTTAACACATTTTGTCGTATTCTTATTACCTTTAATCTTCGCAGCGCATTTAGGAAGATACTGTTTTTAATCCCCTTTTAGGCTGGGCGCGGTGGCTCATGCCTGTAATCCTAGCATTTTGGGAGGCCGAGGTGGGTGGATCACCTGAGGTCAGGAATTCAAGACCAGTCTGGCCATCAGGGTGAAACCCCATCGTTAAAAGAAAAAACATTTTTTTAAATCCCCTTTTAGATCAGTAAATTGAGAGGTTAAGTAACTTGGCCAAGGTCAAGTAGTAAGAATTCAGACTAAGAGTTGAAACTAACACATTAGAAGCAGGTAATAACAAGTGCATAGATTAGATAGCATGCGAGGAACCCAAAAGAAGGACGACCTTTAGCCCAGCCTGGAGAAATTCACAGCTCCCTGGAGGAGGTGATATTTGAGCCACACTGACTGGTGGGTGGATCAGGAAGTCAGGCAAGAGGTAGGGCATTCCAGCCAGGAATTTCAGCACCCTGGGAGAGACAGAGGTGTGAGACAACAAACCAGTGTGGCTGTGGATACAAGTGGGAGACAAAGGCAGACGGATAGGAGAGCGACACCACATGGGGCTTCGCGGGCCAGCGAAGGAGTATGAAGATTTGAAGGAGTATGAAGATTTGCGTCTCATCCCGAACGCAACAAGAGTCCCCAGGAGGATTTTAAGTAGGGAACTGCCAAGGTCAGATTTGGATGATGCCAGAGACGACAGGCAAAGTGGGAGGCAGTGAGGAAGCTGCCACCACCATCTGCAGCCAGGGTAGCCTCACCCTAGTTTCTGACCTTGCACACAGCAGAGGCCATCTCCTCTCTCCTCCCGACTCATGGCATCCAGGTTTCTTCTTCACCCTGCACTAGATACTTTTTCCTCTATGGGCCTGTTCCTTTCTTTTTTTTTTTTTTTGGAGATGGAGTCTCACTCTGTCGCCCAGGCTGGAATGCAGTGGTGCGATCTCAGCTCACTGCAACCTCTACCTCCCAGGTTCAAGGGATTCTCCTGTCTCAGCCTCTCGGGTAGCTGGGAGTACAGGCACGCACCATCATGCCTGGCTAGTTTTCATATTTTCAGTAGAGATGGGGTTTTACCATGTTGGTCAGGCTGGTCTCAAATTCCTGGCCTCAAGTGATCTGCCTGCCTCAGCCTCCCAAGGTGCTAGGATTACAGATGTGAGCCAATGAGCCCAGCCAATTGTAGCTATTATTGCTCTTATTATTTTACAGACCTCTTACGATTCGGTCCCTACCTACTACTTTGGGCTCATCTCCTGTCAAATCTCTCCTTGCCTTAAACTTTATACTCCATCAGTATCAAACTGCTAATATTTTTGAGTTAAACTCTATTTGGTTACATGCACTCATACTTTTTACATGAAGCCTGAGATGCCTAAAATACCACACCTCCCCTGCTTGGCATGGGAATTCCATTCCCTTATTTATTTATTTATTTATTTATTTATTTATTTATTTATTTGTGAGATGGTGTAACGGTGTCTTGCTGTTTCCCACACTGGAGTGAAATGGCCATTCACAGGCACCATCATTGCCCATTACATCCTCGAAATCTTGGGCTCAAACAATCCTCCCACCTCAACCTCTCAAAGAGCTGGGACTCTAGGTATGCACCACTGCACCTGGTCCCACCTGGGTTTCACAGCCCATCCTAGGGTTCAGCTCCTCAAGGAAGCCTTTCTTCCTATTCCATCTCCTAGTAAGTCTTTCTGCTGTGCTTTCTCTATGTCTTGCATCTCGTACATTCTTCTATTCATGTACTTACCCCTTTGACTACATCCTACATTGTGTTTCTCTGATTGTTTACCTGTCTGATGGATCATGAGTCTCTCTGGAGCAGAGGCTATACCTGCAGTACATGGCTCACTGCCTAGAATATAGTAAAAGATCATCACTATATTTCCACTGAATAAATGATACGACAGAGAGCAGAAGTCTAAGTAGCCCCTAGGTTTTTGGTAGTACCAGGTTCCAAGACTGGAGCAACAGGAGAAGTGGTTTAGGAATTAAATTCCCCCAGTGAAAGTCTAGCAGGCAGTTTAAGACGTGCGTCTGAAAATCAGATGAGAGACAGAGACCTGTTACACACTTTGGAGATCTGATCCCACCGTTCTGAAATTCGTGTCTACACGGAAACTGAACTCATGATTTTGGTTATCAATGCCCCCAAATTGTGAATAGAATGAGTAAAGGAGAAAACCAAGGCCTTCTAGGAACATCCTTTTTTTTTTTTTTTTTTTTTTTTTTTTTTGAGATGGCGTTTCACTCTGTCGCCCAGGCAGGAGTGCAGTGGCACGATCTCAGCTCACTGCAACCTCCACTTCCTGGGTTCAAATCATTCTCCTGCCTCAGCCTCCTGAGCAGGTGGGACTACAGGCACGTGCCACCACGCCCCATTAATTTCTTGTGTTTTTAGTAGAGACGGGGTTTCACTGGGTTAGCCAGGATGGTCTCCATTTCCTGACCTCGTGACCCACCTACCTCGGCCTCCCAAAGTGCTAGGATTACAAGCCTGAGCTACTGCACCTGGCCAGGAACACCCATTTTAAAGGGCAGCCAAAGGAAGTGAACATTCAAAGATAATCAACCAGAAATACAGAACAAGAATCAAAGAAGAGAGGTGTCCCCAAAAGGCAAAGGAAAACAGAATTTCAAGAGATGCAGCTGTTTCACAGTTACAAGCGGATTTGGAGGTCATTGGGAATTTAGTGGGTGATTTCAGCAAAATGTCAGGGGGTTGGGGTGGTTGGGATTGCAGATTGCTATGCAAAAGAGAAAAAAAGAGCCAGAGGAGGATTCCCTTACCTGATCACTCTGAAAAAGCCTCTCTTCCCTGCTTACAGATTCTCATGCTCATTTGCAGCTTCCCAAAGGACAGTCAGCTCCTCTAGAAGTCCATGGCAAGAATAACCTCGCGCTGGGCTTTTTGCTTCCAGGAGATCAAAGAACTTTCTAGTGATTGATGCCTCTCCTCACTCAACTCAGAAGAACAGTCTTCAGTTTAAGTAAACTGAATCCCACAGATGGAGTGGCACCTTCAAAGCACGTAACAGACAGATGGCATCTGAACCCTAATTCCAGACCTTCTCAGAGGTTCCTGAAAAAAAAAAAAAACAAAAAGGCAATGTACATATATTTTGCCATAAACTAGATGAAATCCAAAAAACATGGCTAAGGGAGAAGAGCTAGGATTTTGCCATAAACTAGATGAAATCCAAAAAACATGGCTAAGGGAGAAGAGCTAGGCCTCATTGATCTTAAAAGCCTCGGTGGTCTCCGGGTGGACAGGTGCCGAAGTGAGAACACAGGAATCATCCACCACACGTGTGGGTTTCCACAGTCTTCATACGCCACATATGCAAGCCTTTTCTCTACAGTTAGACTAAGAGAAACTTGGAGAGGATACGTATCCCTGAGTACTAGACATGCAGTAGGAAGGACTGGCTAACCCGAATTCGACAATAGAACGTTTAGACAAAGGAATGACCTTAGCGCCCACCTGGCTCGGCGGCGCCACATTATCCCGCGTAAGTGTTTTCTTGACTTGTCAGGCTCAGTTATAACTTTTTCTAGAGCAGGGTCCCTGACTTACTTATCTTCTTTTGGCAGTGCCCAGCAAGCAAAGGGTTTGGCCGTAAAAGGTGCTCACTACATTTTTAAAAAATTATTTCATCTTTATTCAACCACTAGATGTACGATGAAAGGAGAAATGTACTCATAAGATCTCCCAAGCATGAAAGAAGCAATGACTTCCTTCCGGATACTGGATTTCATGTCGCCTCCGGAAAGAGGTCTTTACTCAGTGGGTACCCATTTTCATTGTTCCGCAGAACTTCTCTGTTTACATGTGCTTCATTTATTTTGTATTTTGTATTTATTTTTTGTAGAGACTTGGTCTCCCTGTGTTGCCTAGGCTGGTCTTGAACTCCTGGGATCAAGTGATCCTCCCACTTCAGTCTCCCAAGTAGCTGTGACTACAGGCGTCCACTACCATGCTGGGCTCTTGTTTATTTTTTAATTGCTAGAATGTAAATTTCAAGAACGTGGGGATCTTATAATGTCTTACTTAACATTGTAGTCCATTTACACCCCTAGCAAAGGCTGAGGGCATAGTAGGAACTTAATATTTGTGGAAAAAAAGAATGGCTGAATGAATGAATAAGTGATGCTGAAAGAAGGTTAGAATGGAAGCCTCCTAGCAAAGTCACACCAGCTCCTCCTGCCTAGGGCTCTTTTGTCCCCAGAACTAGTCAGCCCCAAGCCTTGCTCCTTCTCCCTCCACCCACTCTCCCATCCCACAGCAATGGGGGCAGGGCCTCTGGCTCCAGAGCTTATTAAAGTCTTTGCAGATAAGTAAATTTTGTTGGGTTCAATTACGCCCCAGGCTACCAAGATTAATTAGGTGAGTCCAGCTAATAAATTAACTGAGTTTTTACTTTTCCCTAATCTGAAGTTTCAATCCCCTTCTGTCTCCAGAAGCCCTTAAAAGGAGAGCTGGAAAAAAAAAGAAAAAAAAAAAAACTGAGATGTTTCATGTCCCCACAGTGATTTCCCTTCTACCACCACGCTTTGAGTACAAGTTCTGCATTTTCTCCCCACCACACAAACAGAAAGGTATGTTTTTAGGTAGACTGGCGGATGAGAAGACTTCCCCTCCAGCTTCTTGGCCCACATGATGCCAAAGTTCCAGCAGGACTGGGCGAGACCAGGCTCTGGTGACCTTCTGCCCTGTTTCCTTAATTTACAGCTTGTGTCAACACAGTTCTGGGAAAGTTGCTTGTGTCACCTCCTAAGACTAAGGGAAACCTTTGGCTACTGAAGCTGTTTATCCCTCCTGCAGCCACCAAGGAAGGTAAGCTGGCAAGTGGGTGTTCCCAATCCCAGTTTACCTTCCTTGGCTTGCTGCTAAGGGCTAAATGGCTCAGGGATTTCTTTTCTTTTCTTTTCTTTTCTTTTTTTTTTGAGACAGAGTTTCGCTCTTGTTACCCAGGCTGGAGTGCAATGGCGCGATCTCGGCTCACCGCAACCTCCGCCTCCTGGGTTCAGGCAATTCTCCTGCCTCAGCCTCCTGAGTAGCTGGGATTACAGGCACGCGCCACCATGCCCAGCTAACTTTTTGTATTTTTAGTAGAGACGGGGTTTCACCATGTTGACCAGGATGGTCTCGATCTCTCGACCTCGTGATCCACCCGCCTCAGCCTCCCAAAGTGCTGGGATTACAGGCTTTTCCTGATATTGCTGTTAGTGAGATTGCATTTTTCTTTGTCTTTCTCCTGATTCAAAACAGAGGGAACAAGGACATAAAGAATGGTTGATAATCCTAGAGTCACTAATCTTCGGTAAATTTCAAAGGGTAAGTGGAGGCAAATAAACATTCAGTAAACAAGTACAGTATTTTTTTTTTTTTTTTTTTTTTGAGACAAGGTTTGACTCTGCACCCAGGCTGGAGTGCAATCTCGATTCATTCCACCTCCCAGACTCAAACCATCCTCCCACCTCAGCCTCCCAAGCAGGTGAAACTACAGGCACATGCCACCATACCCGGGTAATTTTTTTTTTTTTTTTTTTTTTTTTTTGGCGGAGACAGGGTTTTGCCCTGTTGCCTAGGCTGGTCTTGAACTCCTGGGCTCAAGCAATCCTCCTGCCTTGGCCTCCCAAAGTGCTGGGATTACAGGTATGAGCCACCATGCCCAAACACAAGTACAGTATTGAGTGCATATTGAGGAGAGTGTAAAATGATCCATATTAGGCTGGGTGTGGTAGCTCACACCTGTAATCCCAGAACTTTGGGAGGCCTAGGCAGGTGGAGTGCTTGAGCTAAGGGGTTCAAGACCAGCCTGGGCAACATGGTGAAACCCTGTCTCTAGAAAGAATTTAAAAATTCGCCAGGTGTGGTGGTACATACCTGTGGTCCCAGCTACTCAGGAGGCTGAGATGGCAGCATCTCTTGAGCCTGGGAGATTGAGGCTGCAGTGAGCTGTGATCAGGACACCGCACCGCACTCAGTCCTAAGCAATGGAGTGGGTCCCTGTTTCAAGGAGGAGGAGGAAGAAGGGGAGAAGGGGGGGAGGGGGAGGGAGGAGGGGGACGGGGAAGGGGAGGAGGCACAAAAAACCAAAATGCTTGGCCAGGAATAGAGTGGAGGCCATGTGACTGTGGGAGAAAGGAATGAGAGGACTTAGAAGAGGCGAGCAGAAACCAAAACGGCGGGGGCTGCAGGCCACGGTAGGTGGCTTGATGGAATTCCAGGAACAAAGGAGAGTGGCCCAGGAGATGCCAGCAGGAAAGCCTCAGTATCTAATTTGCAATTGCAAAAGATTTCCCTGTCTTCTGCATGGAGAATGCATTAGAATACAGCAAGAGAAGATACACCGAAACTAGTCAGAGGCAGCACTGGGGTTGACCGGGTGAGAGACGGCAGAGGCTGGCTAGGTGATGATCGTGAAGGTAGGGAGCTGTGAATGAAAGACATCAAGGACATCATTTGAAGGTGGGACTCACAGGGCCTGCTAATGCATGATTATGAGGGGCAGGAAGGAGGGAGAAGTCCAGGGTGCCATCTCCGATTCTGTCCTGAGCACATGGATTTCTACTCCCTTCTCTATCCCCAACCCCCTTTCTCTGTCATCCACATACCAGGAGTTTCCAGTCTCCCCAAGCCTTTGGTCAGAAAACCAGTTTTCCTGGGCATTAGACAAGAATTTGTCTCCAGAATTTCCAACCAGCAGATGTATCTCTTCTCTTTCTGCCTGAGACTGTGGACTCCTGAAATCTGTGAATATTTTGCAAGTTCCCTTGCCCAGACCACATTCTTGAGAAGAGTGTTCCTGTGACTCTGGGCCAAAGAAACGCTGAGAAGGTAGTCCTCTTTAAATCCCTCCCAGCACTCAATGGGTGAATCAGCCTCAGTTGGCATGTGAATTTGTCCTACTGATTGAAAGAGCAGAAAGTTATTCTAGAGGTGGGTGCCAACCAACAGTCATTCAACCTAAGAGTTCGGACAGGCAAGCCGATGTGCAGATCATTATAAAAATAACTGTGGCAACAAAAGGCACCCGTCCGCTTTAAGACCTAAGATTCTAACGAATGAATTTCCCAACAGGACTTCCTTGTTTGCTCTAGACAAACGCTGAGCCTTAATTGCACACTTGACACAAAGATTAGACTATACGTGAAAATTCACACAAACATCTCCATTGTGTAGTGACTTGAAAACTAAAGGAGGGGTCTGGTGTGTGTGGGGGACGAGGGTGTGGCAGTGAGCTGGGGCAACAGGCAGAACGGACAGAAAAGAGGGTGAATCTAAAGGTGGCAAACGCCGGATCCTAACCTTTGTTCTCTGCCCCCAGGGTGAAGGGTAATATGAGCCTTGCCACCCAGCAACTACACTAGAATAGAATTAACAGCGCTTTTGCTGCCCAGAAATCTGTTCTCCGAACAGACGGCGTTTCCCAGAACTAAAGCCTAACAAGCCTGAGCTTAAATCCTGGAATTGGCTGGCTCACAGTAACTCCGAAGGAAGAAAAGTCCCGTTTGGTTTGGCTTTCAGTCTCTCCTAGGCCAGGAACCGATGCCGCACAGACTCAGGAGATGGAAAGATAAAGCCTCTCATGTGTACCAGATTGGGCCACAAAACCTCGGCAATGGGTATGTACCCTGGGCCTGGCTCTGTAAATATCCGATGGCTCCCTGGGAAGGAAGCTGGACCGTCTCTCCAGTTCAGGCCCAGTTTCTTTACTGACACTTTCCCATGCCTTCACTGGGGGGCTGCTGTGCAGCCTAAATGCTGGAATACCATGACCTGAAGCCTATCTCCAGAGAGACTCTCCGAGGAAGGGAATGTCATCTCCTCATCGAATCCAATATATTAAGGAATGGGAGGGAGAAGCTAAGTGAAGATGGATATAGGAGAAAGGTTATGAAAGAGAGAAGTCAACAGCTGAGTTCAAACCAATTCAGACCCCTTCGGACAACCACTGGGACTTCAGACACAGCCCTGGGAATCTGATGGTATCTCACTGTGAGTCATGCAGGCGATCACCTTACATGACTCACCTTCCAAGAGATGTCCATGGCCTTTACCATCGTCTTTTTTTTAAACGTCTCTTGTTTTTGTTTGTGGTCCAAAGTGTTAGAACTACATTTTCATATTTCTTAAATCATATTTGATAGCAGCTTTTTTTATTGGTTGCAAAACCTAAGCCCCTCGACAAAATTAGCAACACATTTAGAGGCCTCTTTAGAAAGAACATTTTAGTCTTTTTAAACCGAGTTTAAAATAATAAGAACAATGCAATTTTTAAACACTGTTTTGAAAACTTAAAAGTTCAGCAATGTACTTAGTTTCCTTTATCTGTGAAGTGGTGCAATTCCAATTCAAAACTGGTAAGGCCACAGCAAACTGAATCAAGGAAATGCATACAAATGCCTGA